ATCACATATCAATGAATGTTTGTACATGGATGCTGTAGACAATAGATAGACCTGGATAATTGTGGTTTAAAATCTGTACATATTAATTACCTAATTTGCATAATTAACCAATTTTCAGCTTTCACACTGATATCTAAAGTACTAATTATTCCATTTCAATGAAACTTAGTACAAAGATGCTCTAGGACAATGTACAAACCTAATTAGTTTGGGGTAAAAATCTGTTCATATTAATTCCCTAATAAACATAATAATTCATAATTTTTTGGTTCTAATCACATTTCAATTAAACTTGGAAACATAGATTTTCTGTGACATTGTGCAGACCTCATTAGTTTTACACTCAAATCTGTTCATATTAATTTTCTGATTTGCATAATTAGTTTTAAGCTAAGTAATTTCAACTTATATTTAATGTGTTTCCAATTCTTTCTAAGCTTTCTTTGATTTGATGATTTATTTTTTCTTCACAGCTGTGAAATTTGGAAGAATGTCCAAACGACAGAGAGAAAAAGTCTTCAAAGAGTTGGAAAAACTTGACATCCAGAGAATAAAACGTGAATCTGAACCTGATGTACGTGCTACAGAATTGAGTACGTCGTCACCAAGTCGCACATCGCCTGTAATGAAATCTCAGGGACACTCTCAACCAATGAGAAGCCCACTGAGTATGTCTTCTGTTTACACCTTCCCAAGTCAGCCAATGCAATCCTCGCCAACAACCGTACCAGTATCGTTGCATCAAACGCCGACCAGTACCTTGGCGCACCATCCGCCGTCAGTTGCATCAGGCCCGCTTAATATTGATCCAAGACAAGCTGAGCTTGGTAAGTTGTTACTGCAATAAATAGCGAGTTTCCTAGGAATTGATTGTCGCAGTACCATGCAGTATGTGTTGGGTATGGGTCCCATGCAGCATATACATCACATGTAGTGTAAAATACATTGTTTGTTCATTAATAACAACAAATTGCAGTACTGCATGACCACCATAACATTTTTAATCTGTGCCTGGTATGGTGTAATTGCTTCTTTTAAATTTGTTTATAATCTTCGTTTCTAACCGACAACAAACAAATAAATTATTCCGCTGAATTCATAGTTTGCTAAGTCTTAAAAATCACACTACTCATCAAAAATATGATTATTTGTTTTCATTCATGAAATGGCTCTCTTTTTTGCCTAAAAACAACATCTTTGGTCAAAAATATGAACATAGATTTGTGACTGAACAGTTTTTATCTTATTTGATCTTAATTGGTCTCTCTTAAACTTTTCACCTCCAGACTGTCTCGCCCAAATTTGTCTGCACTTTTTTCTTATGTTCATCAACAGACAAAATTTGAGTCAATTTTCAGTTTTTACTCATGACAAAAAAATTGGCTATTTTTGTCTCAATCTTCTGAAAGAAATTGCAGACTATAAATGAGACTATTGGTAACAGAATTGCTATAAACTATTTTATAACCTTTCGAGCACCAATGTAAACTTCAGACACCATTCACGAAATAGTTCTATTTATAGTTCTGCTCTTTTCCACATACAATGTTGCAAAAATTTCAAATTTGTTGATCAAAAAGTAGAAGTAATTTTGTCTGTTTGGTCTAAAATTAGGAGAAAATTTGATTGAAATTACAGAAAATTTGAATAAATTCACCCAAATTTGAGCAGGAACATAATTGATGGAAGGATTAAAAAGTTCCACTCTGAGATAATTTCTGCGACTGTATTGGGGTCAACATTATATTCAATATTTTCAGTCAGTATTTTTAGTTTGTGTGCTCACTCAAATGTTGTCACATTAAAGTTGTGTACTCTATCTCACATAGAGAGGGCAGTATATAATATATATCACTGTCAACAATAGTGCAATGCATTCTGGGAATGTAATCTACAGGCTAAATTGTTCAATTTCTAGGCAAAATCAACTGTAACATCTAATAAAAATTTAACAACTGTGTCTATTTACTGATGGCCGTGACCTCAAAATGTGACCTTAAGATGATACATTCTTGCCATAGAGGGCATGCTTTTATTGAACAAATTGATGTGCATGGTGACCAGAATTGTCTTTTTTAATTTACCATAGATTAAGCGAATGCTATATAAGACTGAACTATGTCAAGAAAATTAAAAAAAAATTCAATTTTTGAGAACAATCAGTTTAAAAAGAGGATTTTGTTTTTTAACCAGAAATATTAAAATATTATTAAATATTATTTTGTTTTCAGGATTAATAGTAGATTGTTTTCAATTATACTTGTAGATCAGTTAACAACTGCAGTTACAATTAGTCATCATCAGACTTGTATATACAGTCCCGCTCAGTTGTCGGCGATGCGGGCATCAGCAGAAGATTCTCTCAAAGTGAAGTCAGAACCTTCCTGGGTAAGTTGTCATAGTTATAACAGCACCATGAATATTCATGATCAGAAAACGGAACAGAATCTGAATGCAACTGTGGAAGGATACATATTGGTGACTTATCACAGCCAGTAGTCCGGTATTCTCATAGGAAACTGTGTACCTGTTTTTGAGAGCAAATCACTTCACCGACTTGTTTTGTAGAGGAACACATACATTTTTTAGCTTCCTTAACCTTTTCTTCACCAGACTTTCTCACCCAAATTGTTCTGCACTTTTTTTCTTGTAATATATTTTTAATTTTGGAGCAAACGTACAAAATTTTCAGTTTGTACAAAAAAAATTTCTGAAAAAAAGTGCAGACTATAAACGTGACAATCTGAACATAAACAATATATGGATTTCTATAAATACAATCGGTGACCTTGTTTATTATTCAACTCCTGGTTACCACGAAAAGACATTATTACGGCATCTATAAATATAAGAAAATTATTAATGTCACTTAAATCATCCGATGTCTCAAGATTTTTGGTAGCCAGGATATTAATTTGCATATCTAACAATTGAAGAAACGTATCTCAGTTTTCTCATTCACAGACAAAAGACGAGGTGTGGTTAAAGATGGCCGAGTACTTGACCTCTCACATGACTAGGATTATACACTTTGCAAAAATGATTCCGGGATTTCTGAATTTCTGCCAAGAGGACCAAATCGTTCTCATCAAATCAGGTAAGTACATGGTGTTATAGTTATAGTAGTATAGAGGGCAGTGTTTAGCTAGTGCTCATGATACCGGGTATCCCATAATGCAATTGACATCTTGTAAATCACATTTAATGAGTCTGTCTTATTCGACTTCATACTTACAGTTGAGTTGAAGCATTTATAGAAGACGGGATTTGATTTGTTGAATAAACCTGTCAATAAGCATGCTGCTCTCTTATTGGCTTGATTTTTAAATGTTAGGTTTGTGTAGCCAATCAGACACTATCTTGTAAGTCACTTCGACTTGACTCTAGACTTATAATTTGGTGCATGCTGTAGTGCAATTTATAATTGTGGAGTGACCCCTATATGTGTGGCAGTAAATATTATGTGTGTATCCAAAATTAACGATGCAAAAGATGTATGAGCTGTGGGTACATACATGTGATGTGGTATACAGTGAAGTCAATCATGCAAATTATGAGTTGATTATGAAATCGTGCAATAATTGTACATTTCAAGAAACTACTACTGGTGATATAAATGAGTGTTTATGAAAGAACTGATTTGTGTTCTTTTAACTGATTTGTGTTCGTTTCAGGCCATTTTTTCTGGTGCTCTTGCCTATTTGCAAAGTGTGTACTATGTGCATTTTGTGTTTTTGACTATTCTCAGAGTAGACATCCGGGCATTTTTACCGCATGGCAACCATCAGAAAACTCTCAGAAAACTGTACTTTGGGATGGTTGTTGAGACTCTTTTGAACAGTGTAACACAATTACCCCTACATGTGAAACATGTATAAATTTGGTTGTTCAGGATAACTTCAAAGTTGGGTTTATGCGGTTTCCTGGACTTTAGCCATTTTTTCCATAGCATAGCAGCTTGTGCAGAGCCAATAGAAATACGTGATACAGTGGTCTTAGCAACATAGAATGTTCTGTGAAGTAGCTTCGTCCCTGAGAGTAGTGATTATCCCATTCATTTCTGTTCATGCAATTGAATCTATCAAGGCTTTTACTATAGCTGTGTTCTGTGATGATCTTGACTAGAAATATATTTATCAACATATCTTCAATGCATATCACTCTACCTATCTACATGTACATATCTAATTTGCAATTACTCTTATCATATAAACATTAATTATGCACGTCATTGTTGATTCATTTCAGGGGGTTTAGAGGTAATACTTATTCGACTTGGCAGGCTGTTTGACGTCACTACTGGCACATTTCCTATGTGGGACGGTAATTTTACATTAGAACATTTGAAAAACTTAGGTAAGTAAACTCAAACGAAAAAATTGTTGTCTAAAGAGAAATATAAAATGTCAAATATTATTCTAAAAAGTATCTAGACAGTTTTTCTTATGTTACTTTGAAAATTCACTGAAAGGTAAATGACCGGAAACTTTACTTTTTTTTTTTTTCAGCCTAATCGTACAAAGTTCATTTAGCTTGGTTTCCATGACAACGTGAAATTGAGTGTAACATTATTGTTTCTTTCATTGAAACCCATGCATAGCAACACATGCGTTGGTATGTGCTCTGCTATCAATTACAGCTCAGTAGCGGTAATCATTTAATTTTAGGGTTTTCCTAAATTTGTAAATAGCATTTGTCGCGATTATAATATCTGACTAAAAGTTGAAACAATGTAACCATGTAACGCCACATGAAGTAAATCAAATGTAGCCAACGTAAAAACAACAACTTCATCCCTAACTGTATTACCTCACTGTGACTTCTTAGGAAAATTATTTCAATATCAAATGAATACATTTTTTGATTTATTTGTTTGTCAGAATGGAATGTCCTCATGAATAATTTGTGATATCATTTGAAACAAACATTATTAATATTTTTTTTGTTTCCTTTTTTCAGTAAAGTTATTGTCTGATTAAGTTTGACCTTTGAACCTTTGAGTGCCAAACTCAATTATAAACCTACCTAATTTTTGTTATATATATTTTTTAAGTTACTGGTATGTCCATTTGGTTTAAAATTATCTAAGAATTTATTGGAAAATATATAAAAATATGCAAAACATTGCATCAAAATTTTAGTGGAAAAAAAGCCTGGTACATGACAATGAGAAAATTATGTGTTGAGGAAGTGATCAAAGTTCACTGCTTTTTGCAATGATAAAAGAACTGTTTTTACTATAAGCCTTGTCACTTAGAAAACAACATTTGAATGAACTGTGAATATCACATAGTGACACGATAGTACGCAAACGACTAACCCAAAGAACAGAATATTGATAATAGAACCACAACATGCACAGATACCGTCCTCTTATACTAGTATTTTAACTTTTTCAGCGGGTGTGATCAGTCACGATTGTTTCTTTGAATCAATGTTTGACTTGGCCCGAAATATCAGCTCTCTCAGTCTCAGCGAAGAAGAGATTGCTCTATTCAGTGCTGTGGTTCTCATCACTGGAGGTAGGTCAAAGGTCATGCATACTGTTCTTTGTGTCATGCTTGCTTAAGAAGTGATTGTTGCCATTACTTGGCTATTTATAGAATCTTTTGTCCCATATCAGTCAAGTGGAAAAATCAGGTATCAACTTGGCCATGTATACCAAATGGTTTATTATTCAGTACATTTTTGTGATTAATTACAGTGGTAACCAATAAGTAACTTTCATGACCTCTGGATCCATGATCCTGGTACTTTTGTTGGTATAAAAATCAAAAATGATTTTACCGATATTTCAGACTTCACTATTTATTTCAGCTGAGTAAAATGTTTCTGTGAACTAAAATAGAGATTAAAATGCTCCAATTGTGTATGTTTGAGATGCTGTTATACCAACAAAAGTACCAGGATGTGTGACCTTTAGGGGTCAGAAAAGTGGGTATGGTATGTAAAATGCAGAACAGAAACATAAAAAAGAAAGCGAAATTTGTATTACTTTTCAATATTGTTTCTTTTTTCACTATCAATTTACCACGATCTCCATCACACACAGCATGCATGGATTCTTCAAAACATTATTAGTAATGGTGCAACATGCTCATTTTTTAGTCTCGGTTCGGATGCAGTACGAAAACGAGGTCTTAACCTCTGTGCATGCATCTGTGTGTCTGTGCATGTGTGCATCGGAACCTATACCTTAGCCATATTTTGACTGATTACATTCAAACTTTACACATACATCATACATAATATTATACATATGCACATCAATTTGTTTCACGATCTGATTCAAGATGGCGGCCATTTTTTTGCTGAAAAATCATAAAAATCGTAAAAATCAAGCATTTCTGCTTTCTTCATTTCAAGCTGTTACAGAAGGATTTTGTTAAAACTTGGTACATACATTGGACATTATGGAACCTTTTGTTTTCCAGATCTGATTCAAAATGGCAGACCGTGGCTATTTTGTTTTAATTAATGCTCTTCTGGAGCAATATCTCTCAATATGGGCAAGTATTCGTTTGACGATCCGATGCAAGATGACTGAATGTCAATCATTTTAATGTTAAAAAATCATCATAATCAAGCATCCACTTCTGGATCCATATCTCTGACATGATTATGTTCAAACTATATTACTACCCAGTGGGGTATAAACAAATCTATCTTAAATTTGATAGCTAACAGGGATTGCACCATGTGTGGCTTGTATTATAAGGATTTCGCATTAGTTTATGATAAATTTCCACTTTACATACCGTATTTGAATTCAGAATATTATTAGCTTACTTCTAAGCTTTAAATTATACACCAGTTGACCTGTGACCTTCCATTAAGAGTTCAAGTTATTCTCCAGATGGCCATCAAATTAATTACAATGGGTGTTTGAGTCTTCTGCTGTTAAACTTGACCTCACCTTGACCTTTATTATGGCAGATTGGATTCCAGTGAAATATCCCTGGGATTATCACATGTACAGTGTATTTTGAACATTAATTGATCATAGATCTGATTTTATCTTTATAATAGTTACAATCTACATGTCAAGTCATTTGACTTTTTAACCTTTTAAATGCCCATCATTTTTCAACCAAAATTTTGTTCTAGCATTTTGGTTATTATTGTGTACTTTTCTTTAATTTTTTTTGCTAATTTTAGACCAAATGAATATAATATCTAATTGGCTGTAAGTGCTGACCAAAATGTTTGAAAAAATTACAAAAAAAGTGATGCAATTTTTTTTTTTTTGTGAAAGATAAAATTTTATTTCTTTTTGAGACTTTCTTCCTTCTTTATTGTTTATAATATTTAGGTTCATTTTTAAAAAATTTTTAATGTAATTTCTATCAATTGTTTCATCCATAATTATTGGAATTCTAGAAATTAAAATCGGAGGCATCTCTCTGATCACCGATTTGCTTCACCCTAAAAGTATTGTTTGTCCAAGTGGATCTCGATTAACATGAACACAACTGCTGGTGGTGCATATGGTGCAGTGCGACAACTGATAATTTGTAAAAATAGATTATTATGATGGCATAAAATCAATCAAAGTCTCTGCAAAGAAATAAAATTTAAAAACAAGTATAATTTACATTCATGCTTGTGCTGATGTACCTGTGATGATAACATGTTAGATGCAGGAACCAATACATTTTACTCCGAATGGGTCCAGGATGTGCCATTGCAGTTTAATTTAATTTTTTCCAATTCTGAACATTTTTGTGTTGCTTCCATCGTTAAATACTATATGAAAATAATGCTGATATAATAGCAATAACCACCTCTGAACTGCAGAAGTCGGGTATACCACTCGATTTCGCACAATTCACTCCATATACGCACACACCTGCGAATCATAGGTATAAAACATGAATTGTGCGTTATCTCTTGGTGTATGTGGCAGGATTTTTTTTTTAATTTTGGGTTAATAGACAAAAAACATGTAATTTTAACCATGGAAACTAATGCAAAAATAAAATTAAAATGTTGCTTTTCTCAGAAACAATATTCAGCAAGACCGTATTTGTCTGTATCTAAAATTGCATCACCATACTTTGAAAATACGTTTCAATTATACAAGATTTACTCAACAGTACATTCAACTTTGAATACAGAGTGAACCATTATGTCTGGAGGGGTGGATTCTTTAATAAAAAAAGAAGTAAATGACAGAAAACAGAAAAACAAACAAATCTGCTTAAATTAGGGAGACCTCTTCGACACGTACTCTTTCTAAGAGGTCAATAAATGAACATTAATTTATAACTAAAAAGAGATTTGCCTGAATTCTAACCTAGTCACATGAACACTCCTTTAAAATTAATGGTTTACCCCTTTACATAATCATTTATTGCTGGGAAAATGTTGTGTCATGTTGCTGATGAGAAAATGATAGTGTTGCCTTGACAACTGCCTATTATCCATAATACTTTTAGCGTATCTATCAAATTAACTGCAGCATAGAGGTAGAGCGAAATTGTACTAACAATTGGACAAGGTTGCCATGGAGATATTTTTAGTCAACGAAATCATATTTTTCAACTGAAATCTTGACAAACTGTTGAATTAAAATATCATTGAAATCTTGGGTTTATTTTATCAGTCAAGCGTGCTTGTATTTGTTCAATTTCTATTTTTGATGATTCATTATGTTAATTAGATGATAATTGATGTAGTAATACATGTCAATAGAACGCTGTTAGCAGGTCATATTTAAACCTTTTCACTGCCATTTTCAAAACATATTTCTCCCTGCAAAGTAATCCTTTTTCTAAATCTGATTTGTGTCTGCGAAAATAATTGAATCGCCCTCGAAAAAAAATATTTTTGATCAAATTTGCTTCCAAAATTCATGCAACTTTAAATTGTGTGTTTGTTGATTTCAACAAGAACCTAAACCCTGAATATATTATCTTTTTAAACACATCCAAAATTGTTGCCATAGAGGGCATACTTTTATTGAGTAGCCATAGAAGGCAGAAAATTTATTGAGTTGATGTAGAGGGCATACTTGGGGCTTCGCTGGTTCCCGGCGTCCTTTGCGAATGCCAAGTAGGACACAGGTAACTAGTAATCTCAATACTGTTCCAATGGGCCGGGATTCTGGCCCAAAGGCACGTGACAAATGTGACGTAATTTGAAAACATTCCAATTTTCGTTTCCATAAACAAGTCCTCAGTATGCCATACCCATAAAGTCTGCCTGCTTAGACTTCATATTTGAGATGTTTCTGGCATTTATCGCTATTTCTGTGCAAATTTATAACAAAAGAAATAGTTTTTTATTCACCACTTAGTCATGTGACGTCACTTAGTCACATGACTGGGCCGGAGTCATGGCCTAGTGAAACAATATGGCCATTACTAGTTACCTGTGTCCTACTTGCCATTCGCAAAGGACGCCGAGAACAAGTGATTTAGAGTTGCCATAGAGGGCATAAATCTATTGAGTTGCCATAGAGGGCATAAATCTATTGAGTTGCCATAGAGGGCATAAATCTATTGAGTTGCCATAGAGGGCATAAATCTATTGAGTTGCCATAGAGGGCATAAATCTATTGAGTTGCCATAGAGGGCATACTTTTAATCACACTAAAATGTATATAAAAAGGGTGATGTGCAAACTGAGACGTGCAACAAAAAACACATTTTTTGCCAGATTTTATCATTTCACTAGCTCCTAACTTTTCAATAATAATAATAATAATAATAATAATAATACATGCAGCACTGAAAACAATAGAATTCACTATTTCATGAAAAGCTTTACTGTAAAATTCTTTGTTTTAATTTTCGCTGAAAAGACTTTTTGGGTGTTTTGTATGTAATTTATTTTCACTGATTTTTGATAAGATGAATGTAAAATATAGAAAAATGGTATATTTGCTGGATTATATTTTCACTGAATTATTTCTTCAGCGCAAATTAAAACCAAGTGAAAATTTTACAGGATATATTTTACTCTTCTATCTACTCTAGATCGTCAGGGATTAAGAGATAGAAGATCTATTGAGCAGCTGCAAGAGAAAATTCTGGAGTGTTTTACCAAAATACTACATCGAAATCATCCAAAAGAACCAGGTCTTTTAGCCAAGGTATTGATGTTTATGCCAACCCTACGTACTATTAGTACCAGCTACGCAGAACTGATGAACCGAGCGCTTCAAGAAAACCCACATCTGCAGTTTCCAGCGTTACATGTGGAATTGTTCAGTGACATACCTGAGCAGGACGCTTCGTAATTATCACGCTTTTTTTACCAGCCAACCACCCTTGAAATCAGTATTGGTATGATCCATATGACCAAATATGGATGTGGACTATTTTATTGCAGGGGTGGAAGGGGTAACAAATAATGGGAACTGTGCCTTGAAACTTTAAATATCTATGAATTTATATCAAGAAAAAAAAACTTTACATGGCACATGTACCAGAGTATGGATTGATAAGTACAATGCGAAAAAAATCCAACTTGGATGGTGGGACAGGGTTTCATCACTCATACACCAAAAAAATAAAACCTACCTCATCAGTTTGTTCTCTTTTTAATATCAAAGCGTGGACATAATGTAGGCACGGACAATTGTCAAAAATCAATTGTTTTTAACCCTTCATATTTTTACAACAATATAATCTTATACTTAGTATATCGTTTGTTTCATTGTTGGCATATGGACCATTTTTAAAACATTATTTGTGATGAATACGGGCAATAGGGAGACTTCTACAATTATGCTTAAAGAAATGTTCTCATCTCCTCTGAAATATACTCTAGTCCGTCACGAGAATAACATGATAAAGAAATAATAACATTTTCTTGGTTGAAATCATAATTTTGGCTTGTTATCCAAATTATAAACAGTCATGACAATGACAATGACAATTTTGTCAAGTATCCTTTGCCTATTTCCAATATTTTAATTCTCACCGTATTTTTGAGACGTATCCATTGATTGGACACATGCATTTATAGTGCACGACTCCCTTTAATAAATATTTTCATTTATAGTGCATGTTACATTTTAGAAAACAAATAAACCAACTTGGGTAATGACTGTTTGCATAGAATTTGCACGAAAAATAAGGTACATTCCATTTTTTCGTAAAGTTTAGCATTTTCCCTACCCTTTTATTTTTTATTTTTATTTTTTTTGCAGAATCTCCAAATTTAATTCACTCTTGCCCGACTTAGGTATTATACTAATACAGTTTGTCAGTGGTCTTTGTAATAAATCATGGATATTTGATTTTTTATTGGATATACTAACTTGTATTATAGATATTTAATTGGTGCGATATTTTTGCATTTATTTTGCATTAATATTTTTTTTTATTTTTAACTGAAAAAAAAAATCCCTCCACTTTTTTCTGGAAATTTCAAAAAACAAAACCCTTCTGATATTGAATTCACCTTGTTCTAGTTTTGTGTTTAGTTATCGCTCTGTATCTAACACATCCATATTATTGATATGGTTTGAAATTTATGATAATTATTGTCACTTCTAGCATCTGTCACATGAGGGCGCCCTTCATTAGTTCTAATTGGAAGGGAGCATTATACTCAACATAAATTTAAATTACTCATTATTGAATTCTGTTTCTTTAGTACTGCTGTATATCTTGCCTTGTAACCACAATATCTTGTTGATCAACCTTACTATCCTAAGGGGTGCATATAATTTCATTCTTTTTGGTGGAAATTATAGCCAACCTAAGGGGTGAATGTTCCTACAATGATAATTATTCCCATCTTAGGGGGGTTTAATGTACCAAATATCTGCTTTTAATGAAAATTATTGCCATTCTAAAGGGTGCATTTAGTTTCATCCTTTTTGGTGGGAATTATAGCCATCCTAAGGGGTCAATGTACCTACAGTGATAATCATTCCCATCTTAGGGGGGTTTAATATACTAAATATCTGCTTTTAGTGGTAATTATTGCCATCCTAAAGGGTTGATGTGTAAATTATAGCCAGCCATTTCTTTGGACATATTTCCCGTTGCCGGCAGGTCAGATCAAATTTGTTGAAAAAATAAAAAGTTTATTTTGAGAAAGGTAAAAAAAATTTACTTTTCACAAATAATTTATTATTTTCATATATTTACCAAATATTTTGTTCCAGATCTTCAGTCAATAGGAGATCATGTCCATTTTATCAAAAAAAATATATAAATAAATGCCTGAAAATAATTGTTTTATTTTATCGAAATGACACTCATAGGGATAAAGAGAAGTTGATATTCTAAATATCCAAAATGAAATTGAATGTGTTTTTTTTAAACTCAAAAATTATGTCTGACAGCATTATAGAGTTTACCCCCCAAAACCTCCTGGGAATATATAAAAAAACTATTTTTTTTATGTTTCATTTTCATTGACCACCGTAATCTTTCACCATCAGACTTTCTCGCCCAAATTTGTTAGCACTTTTTTCTTATATTCTTCAATATTTCTAGAAATGAACTCTAATTTTGGACAAACCTTTTGCTATTTTTGTCCCAGTCTTCTGACGGAAAGTGTAGACTATAAACGGGATGATTTTGTTAATTTGTGGTGAAAAGAGGGAAATTGTGGTGAAAAAGTAAATACACAATGGCAAATAGAAGTTGATTTTGACCCTCTAAGGTCACACATCTTGGTGTTTTCAGGGTGTATTATTGTTAGCAATGTAACACCTCATTTTTGGACTTTGATGAGACCTGCTTGCAATTTTTGGTAAAATAATTAACATTTATTATTTTTACTGTCAAGCTTAGTTGCATGTTTATATAAACCGTAAGACAATTTATTTTTTGCTTATTGTTTGCACAAAATATAATTGTGTAAAAAAAATTTAATTTGGTATACTAATGTTATTATGCTTCTGTTTACAATGGTGGTCCTATTTCTTAACTTGACAGTATTTTACACAAAGGAAGAGTCGGTATATAGATTTTTGCCCCCTAGAATGGTAAATATTCATAAAAGTTTGCTATTAAGAGAGATTTGTCATTACATAGGATGCCCCCCTAGACTAACAAATTTTCATAACACTTTATTATGAAAATGCAGAACTTCCTAAATTGGTGTCAAAACAAGTATTGATCATGGTTCACTACAAAGACATGCATGTCATTATAAAGAATAATACTCCCTAGATAAGTAAATATTAGTAGAGCTTCCCTAGAATTATAGATATTTGTGAATGCAAATATATGTGGCTCATGAATATTCATGAATATCTTTGTGATCTGTTTACTTAAACAAATATTTAATGTGACTATTATTATAAATACATGTACGATATGTTTAATATAATTGTATATGCAACATTATTGAATGATAAATCATGTTTAAATTTGATAAAAAGATATTTTGCAAATGTGTAGTTTTCGAAAAATATGACAACTTGAAAATTCATAATTGGCATTTTGAGTTCAACATGATAAAAACTTGGAATAGTAACACCATTTTAGAGTATGTTGTATAACTAATTTTAACACACCATTTTAAACTATGTTGTATAACTAATTTTAACACACCATATTAGACTATTTTGTAGAACTTTCTGTGGGTATATGTATCTCAGGGACGTTTTCCCTCCTATTCATTTAGTGAGAAATGTTTTTTTTTTTTTTTCGTAAATACAACTAACTCAAATATTTGTTAAAACTGATTCATGAAACCGTATCAATTGAACAATACTAATTGAATTTTTTTTAGTTGTGAATTTTGGCTGTCAGCTGTTTTCAGCATAACATGATAAAAAAAAATTGTAGTATATTTTGAAACTTTTTGTGAACTATTTGTGAGAATGGTGAATTTGCTCAATTTGAAGTTTTCAAATTGTTGAATATTTAATGATGAAAAAAATGAACATTAAATATAAACCATTTTTTAGCTCTCATTTGGTGATGATGGTATTTACTTGTGGTAATTCATAATTGTTGTTACATTTTTAAAAAAGATTAATTTTTAAACTGCCTGCATCTACTACAAAAATGCTGCAAACATTGGTAATACCTCAGGACAATATTTAGAAACAGACAGAACAAAATATTTCCCGCCATAAACTTGAGTAGAAATATTTTCTCATAGATACATTTTTAATCTTGATTAAAACAAACACACTTTTGCTTCGTTTACTGTTCCTGTTATTGAACAGTTTTTGTTATAAATTCTTTACAAACTTGACGAAATTTGTGAGTGAGCATTAGTGTTAATTTAATAATTTTAAAATCAGGTAACTGTTATTTGTTTTTGTTTCTTTTAATTACGCAGTGTTTATAGCCAAGATTTTGACGGGAAAATTGCGCGATTCACCCCTCTAATCATCATTTAAATACCCCTTCTTCCAAGATGGTATATGCCTGTTGACATAGATTCAACTACTAAAAGATAGGGGTGGATGGTGTATAAAATGTGGTGACCACTTTAGACATGATAAACTAAGTGAGCATTTAAAGTGGGGGAGTCATCACCTGCGCATACGTCAGATGGCCATAGTGTGTCGTTGCGTTTGCCTATGAGCCTTTGCATTTTAGCGTGCGTTGTAATTGTCGCTTGGGACACAATTCGCACGTGTACGCAGGTAACGAACCTCTCGTTTTAAGTCTCCTGATAGACTACTGAAGTACAAACAAAATAATAAGAAAACTTGTTGTGATGTTTGTGCATCTGTGTCACTGTACTTAGAAACTAATTTGCGATGGGAAGCAAAATTGAATCATACTTTTTTAGTGAAATACATATTGAAAGCACTGTTTACTAAAAATATATATCAGTTACCATAACAATAACCAAATCATTCCGCTCAATTTGGAACACATCCTTCCCTATGAACATTTCTTGGTTTAGTCCTCTGAGACAGCCCATTATTTGCAAGAGGGAGGGGAACTATTCACCCCCACTTGACTTTCATTGTCAACACAGTATGCTAACATTTCATGTTTTTAACTTTTATTCAGGTTTTAAACCTTTGACCTTTAACCTTTAACCCTTTAAATGCCAAAGTTGAATTCACATAAATTTTTCCATATTTTTCCAAATATTTTGATTAGGAAATGTAAGTAATGGAAGATTATATCCATTTGATCCAAAACTAACAGAAAAAACATAGAAAAATGTGTAAAAATGTTATGCCAAAATTCCAGCAGTATGGTGTTCAAAGGGTTAATAAAATACACATAAAAGTGGTGTTGATTTTCTCACACATATACAAGTTGATTGAATCACCGATTTTTAGTATTTTTTATAGAATTT